TTAGTCGGAGTTTCATAACTTGTGTCCATTGGGTAGCCAAGTTGGAAGATGGTTGACAATAATAACAGAGAGTAGGATAATTAATAAGTATGGAGAGATGTCGAGCCAAATATTTATTGTACGTACGGCCTCCATCTCTCCGGTGAGACTGGCTTTTGAACACATTTGTCTGTGACTGGCGATTTGATTGATTATCCCGTGTGGGTGGCTGATTCGACCAATGTACAGTGTCCACGCCCATTGCATGTAACTTTTAAGATTGGCGTCTTCTTCAATAGGATATTGGGCAATCTCATCCAGCCTTCCTCCAATGATCTTATTTCAAATTAACGAATCTTCTTAGCAACCAATAAGAATAATTCGCAAAATGGACTGAATCTTGAAGGGCCAATGAACGAACGGAGTGGTGTTATTAAGCGAATTCTTTCACCCTTTTCGAAGGGTGATCGCTTCATCTGTAAAGGGAATTTGAGAAAACATCCCAAGAGTGCACCGTCATGGGGTAAGATGACCCCTCGCCCTCATATGTCGATAGAAGGTTTACTTGACCTATCCAATAAGATGATATAACATGATAATCGCCAATCACGAACATCAAAGCCAGCCATTTAAACCAGTTTATTGAGAAATGTGCTATCTTTTACCATAGGAAATTGGGAGGGGAAGGAGTCAAGGTGTCATGTGTATACACAAGGACGGAAAGATTGTTAGCATCGGCGCACACAGCAGGTCACTATCCATGAAAGATACCAAAGTGTGACACAGGGGAACAAATTTCCAGTTCTCTATGGGTTATGGGTCAGGTAGGCTATCATTCATCACGTGGTATGTGAGCACCGGTGATTGACTAAATCAGACACCTGACAAGGAAGGTCCGGCTGGTAGCACATCACAGTAGACAATCTGGCATTTTCGTTGGATTTGGTCCTGATAATTAAATCTTTGCATTTTGATATATGGTTCTTCCGTTCTTCAGCTTTCTTATGCTGACACCTCGTCGATTGTATGAGTACGGGGAGGCGAATCAGGCCACAGTTCGAGGCCCGAACACATTAAACATAAATTTGGCAAATATGTTATATAAAAATGCAATTAAATTGTCTATGTACTGAAAAGTTTTCGGCCTGGCGTATTTCCAAAGTTTGGCCAAATGACCAAATATTAGAACAATTTTTTGGTCGAGCCGAAAATTTTTCAGCAAACCCCGTACTTTTTTTTTTTTTTTACTAAACCATTTAGTGCAAACAATGAATAAATGTAAATCTAATAACTGTCTATATTTCTGAGATAAGGTATTGCAACTATTTACATTGTTCGAACTGTTGTCCTCATCTTTATTGTCATATGCACGACGTTTCGGTCGTTGTACGCTCCGGCCTTCTTCAGGTGATATACGTTGGAATTTCGAACCGAATATCTCAGAATTAAGAATATCTGAATATGTTGGTTTCAGTTAATTCCCTTTGATAACCCAACTCCAAAAATTCTTGTTTCCTCTGTTGTGGCCAGACTCAACTCTTTGAGTCAAGTTACTATTGGATCAATCAACCAACGCTTTTATCTACTGGGCCATGTGTTCGGTTGAAAATTCCAACAAATAAAGCCTGAGAGTTGTCCTATGAATAACTGTTCTAAGTTTTACTATGAGTGACTGTTGTGTTTCTTTTTATTTCAGAATAATTAAACATGTAATAGTCATTTTTTTAGTCATTTGCGAAAATGGAAGCAAAAAAGACGCTTATAGTTAACATCAGAAAGAGACAGTTGAAATTTCTAGGGTATATTATGAGGAAAAAGATTCTGGAACATTTGACACTCATAGGACATACTGAAGTCAAGAGGAACAGAGAAAAACAACGCATAACGTGATTGCGTGAATGGCATAACAGCGTTCAGGAGGGATAACAAACACAAAATTTATTAAGAGCTACAAAGGACAGGAAATTATGGAGAGCCATGATCGTCAACGTCTTGAAGTGACACGGCACATTCAAGGAAAAAAATGTTTGAATTAATACCTGGACACTGAAAAATATATTACTTTCGAATTTTTAATATATTTCTAGCATAAAATGATTTACAGTGCGTCTATAATAAAATCACTAGCAATGCATTTACAAAATGTACTAGGCTGGCCAGAGAGTTCTGATCCACTTAGGAACAACAAATCTTGACCTCAGTCTGGTGAAATTTCCAAGGAGTACTGCATTTGTAGCTTGTTTTAAACGGTCACACCATCAAAGCTAAACTGTACTGCCAGCAGTTAGACCGCGTGTACGACAAACTAAAGGAGTAACCTGCTTTAGTCAATCGAAGTCGGGCTTTGCAAGAGAATGCGAAGCCACACACTGCCAGGTTGACTAAGGAGAAGTTCAAACATATGAATGGTGTTGGGATTCTTCCACATCCACTATTCAGGCCCGATGCTGCTCTGAGTCACTACGTTCAATTCCGCTCCATGACAAACTTCCTCTGCGACCAGCGAGTCAACACTTTTGATGAAGTGAAGGAAGTTTGTTTTCAGTTTTTTGATTCAAAGTCAGCGAACGGGTATCTAGAACAAATTCGGATGCGGGCTGATAGCTGGCAGAAGATCGTCGAAAATGATGGAGTTTATTTTGAAGAATAAATGTAGGTGTTGCTACATAAACTTTTATTGTTTTCTTTCCGTTTTCTGAGTGATTAAAGTCATTCAAGTCATATATGAAAGCCATATTATCTGAAACACTTGCATTAATTCGGGATAACTAAAATTTTCTATAATTTTCAATGCATTTCTAAATTTAAAAAAAATTAATCTAAGCCCTGTAATGTGATTTACAAAATTCAGTAGAAAGTTACATATCAAGTTCGCATTTCCAAAGATTATCGTCCAAATGTATATTAGCACCATCACTAATATGATTAGTTTAGGTAAGGTTAGTTGTTTTTTACGACGGGTCAACCCTTGTTCGGTTATATACTATCTGAATTTCTGAGATGAAGAATTATTGTTTCGTGGGCTCGTTGGTGCCTGATTTTTAAGAGGGGCCACATTGAGGCTGAAGCCTAATCGCGTAAGACAGTACCTCCGCCCTTTCAGTAACACGGTCTGTAAAAGCCACAGAGACCGGTGTACATGGATCTGTAGGTACACTCTCCTAAGGTCCAACAGAGATACAACGACCGCTGTGGCTTTTCCAGACCGTGCTACAGATTCGTTCATGGCGTACAAACATCTCATCGAGCGGTACCTGCGGTACGGCGAATCCGTGGATGCATACCTGACTGAATTAAAGAAACTTATGTTCTTGTTGGGCAGTGTGAGCGATCGTACGCTGGCTTGCGCATTTGTGCACGGATTGCCAGGCAATGTAAAGCGGACTCTTCGTGCGTCGTCTAGGATGGACGCGTTGTCTACTGACCAGCTGCTTGTCTGAGCCAAAGCGATTATGAGAGACGAGGAGATCGGGGATATCGTGGTGGCAGCGGTGGATCGGCCAATGCAAAGGACGAATAGTGATGTCAGAAAGTGCTTCATATGTAATGGCATTAGTCACAGGTCAGAGCCGAGAAAATGGCAGGGACCGTAATAGCTTGTGGTCGTTTTGTTTGGAGCCCGTGATCTCTTTGAGACATACTGGCAGAGCATTTGTCGTCTACCAGCAAATGTATGACAAAGCACAATCCGGCTTTGATCAGACAAGACGAACACAATCATTGTTTTTTGGGTTTTTTTTACATTATTTACATACGGACTACGGTTCTCATCTTTGTTGTTATTATTACAACGTTTCGACCGTTGTATCCACCCGCCTTCATCAAGTGTATGTCGATCCAGGTAAAGCAGTCGAACGCGAAAAATCTACCCTGATCGACAAACACCTGATGAAGGCCAGAGGGCACAACGGTCGAAAGTTTGTTCGGTTTTTTAATATCGAAATTATTACAGGACTCCCAATGAGGATCGAAGTCGCTATTCAGTAGTAATGTTTTTTACTGGCCTCGCTAACCACTATCTGCCTAGGGATGTAGTATGTATGAGATGGGGAGTGCGTGTCGCCGATTAAGGTATGTTTTGACATTCCAAAATACCGGTAGAAGTATGGAAGGTAAGGCGATTAAAATTTTGTGATACAAAAAATAGCTAAGATGAAGGAGTGCTGCAGTAAAATGAAAAACAACTAATTCGACTAGCAATTTAATGATTTAATAAACAGAACTAATCTCTTATGGCTACGTTATAAATATTCCGACTGGATAGACCTAGAGAAATTCCACGGGTTTTGATACCGAAGATTCTCTATTATCTCATGCCTTTTTTTTTCTTCTTCCCGCACCCTTTGTATGTATCTTCTCATTATCTCCCTTATCCCTTCAAATCTTCTTTATCATCCATGTTTTTATCTAAATGTTATACAAATGTCGATTATTTTTATATATGGAAAGGGAATAGGGAATGCATAGATATTTTCTACTGTAACCTTTCTTTCAGCTTTCTTTTGTTCTGCATGCTCTTTGGAAACTTTCTCAGTAGTAGATCGCCTTAGAAGGCAGGATCATCCCACCTGAACGTATTTCTTATTGGGCCCCACCTGCAACTTTATGCGCTGTTTTTTTTTTTTTTTTTTTTTTTTTTTCAAGGCAAGGCCTGGCACATTTTGCCATGATGCGTGTGCCAATTATACCCTTATCAGATTTGCTGTCAGGGTAGGTATTTTTGGGCTTCGTGTATTTGAAACACAACGTCACTTTGTTGGTGTTCTTCTCCTCCTCCTTTTCCTCCTTCTCCTCTTCCTCTTTCTCTACCTTCTCTTCTTAGTACTACTACTACTACTACTAATAGTAATAATATCAATAACAAGTAGTACACGTGAAAATTTCACAGCTTTCCTGTTTTCATTTTGTTTTTATTCTTTCCTTCTTTTTCTCACTGAAATCAAACAGCATCTCTGATATGTCTTTTTCATCTTTCCACGTGAACAAAACGGAAGAGTTCATTATTTATGAGGTATTTGTAGAGCGTTTCTATCTATCTATCTATCTATCTATCTATCTATCTATCTATCTATCTTTTTCTCACCGAAACCAAACAGTGTCTCTGATATGTCTTTTCCGTTTTTCCACGCGATCATAACGGTAGAGTTCATTATTTATGAGGTATTGGCAGATCGTTTCTATCTTTCTTTCTTTCTTTTTCTCACTGAAACCAAACAGTGTCTCTGATATGTCTTTTCAGTTTTTTCCACGCGATCATAACGGTAGAGTTCATTATTTATGAGGTATTGGCAGATCGTTTCTATACCTCTTTCTTTCTTTTTCTCACTGAAACCAAACAGTCTCTCTGATATGTCTTTTTCATCTCTCCACGTGATCAAAACGGAATAGTCCAATATTTATAAGGTATTGGCAGGTGGAAACGTACGTATGTTCTAAGTATCTAAGAGAAAGGCAAGCAGAATTATAATCAAAATAAAGAATTATCCATAATTATTGAAGTGAATAAATGTCTTCTGAAATGTCTTATTGGAAACACTGGAAATAAACGGTATTATTGAAACTGCTGAGACAAAATAACATTATCACAATTTAAAAGATTACTGAGGAGAGTGTTGTAGTATTAAGAGGGCTTACTGCCCTTCTGTCCTTAGTGTCTGCCGCTAGATGTTACTGGTCTGAAATCTCACAACGACAAATAAGGAAAGAATTCACAGTTGGTCTTTTGTGACATTAGGAATTATACAAAGTAGTAATTATACAGAACCGTAAGAATGAATCAGATACAATATATTTAAGTCTGGGTATAATGAAGAAGAGACTCGCGCCAAAGGAGATGTGGTTCTACAGAAGGATGCTAAGGATATCATGAACTGAGCATATGAGCAACTATGAGGTCTTAGAGAGGTTACAAACAACGAGAAGGCTTATACTTAACATCAGAACGAGGCAGCTAAAGTTTCTGGGACACATAATGAGAAAGGAGGGCCTGGAGAATCTGATACTCAAATAGAGAGAAAGAGAGACAAAGGAAAGCAGTGACATACTTTACGAGCTTGAGCAGGTGGATGACAGAATGTGGTGTGGGGGTGGAAGCAGAGGGAAGGAGCTTGCTTAGAGCTGCAAGGGATAGAGGGAGGTGGAAAGCCATAATCGCCTACGTCCTGAAAGAATATGGCTCATAAAAAGAAAGAATCCAACGAGCAACAATGATGCAAAATAAATGATAACATTACTTTTTGATGTTATTGTGATGGCTGGACATGCAATGTTGTTAAATAAGATTATTGTTTATTATTTCATCGTTATCGTTCCTTTAATATCAGTGGCAGTAATTATAGTAATTATAACAAGAGAGAAAGGGGGAGAAAGAGAAGAGAGGAAGAAGAGAAATCATAGACAAAACAATAGGAGTAAAAAAAATACCTCTTTGTTTTTGCGCCCCGTTTGTTACTCTTGATACAGACAGCTCCCTGCATCTTTTATCATCTGGTAGCTGCTGATCACTGTAAAAAAAAAAAAAATAGGCGGGAAAAAAAATGGCACACGAATAACATACAGGGGTTGCTTACGGCCTCAAGAAATGAACTGAAAGTGCTAATCTAGAGACAGACAAAAGATGATATATATACTTTAAGACTAACAGTTTATCAGTTCAGACGTTTCGTTTATCGGCAGTTTTTGCTCCCGAGTCGCAATAAATAGCTGTTATTGTTTTCCTTTTTTTTTATCTTTTAGCAAAAAGTCTCCGTGCGTGTCTTTCGTCTCCCTATTGCACACTGCATCTTGATAAACGCGTGAAGCAAAGCGATGACAACAGAGGGATGTACAAAGGCTTTTAAAAATCAGTTTTTAGGGCAGTTTGCCTATGATTCATTCTTTATTCTTGTGCTTGGTTTTCTTCGATTTATTTATTTTTTACTTGATTTTGTAGCATTTTTAACCTTGACCCTGAATATTTATGTTATTATTGAAATGAATAAATGTCTTCTGAAGTGTCTTTTTGGAAAAGTGTCGTTTTTTTTTTTGTTGGATTTCTTTTTCTGTCTCTTTCTTTCCTTCTTTCTTTCTTTTCCACCCTATTAAAATATTTCTGTTATATTTCTGCTGCTTCCTTAATTAATTACTTTCTTTCTGTTCTGTTGGGTATTTTTTATCTTACTTGGACCTTTCTTCATTCTTTTTCCTTTCTTTTCCCCCATTTAACCTTTCTTTCGCCCTTTCTTTCTTTTTTTATCTAACTCCCTTTCTTCCTTACTTCTTTTCATCTATACCCTCACTGTATCTTTTCGTTTTTTTCATCCAAACTTTCTTTTCTTTTTTTTTTCCATCTAACCTTTTTTCTTTGTTTTTGTTATTTAACTATTCTTTCTTTCATTTTCCTAATTTTTACTTTCTTCCTTTTTATTTTTTATCTATCCTTTCTTGCTTCCTTTCGTTTTTTTCAGATGACATTTCTTTTTTCTTTGCTTTTTTTTTATCTAACCTTTTGTTCTTCATTTCTTTTTTCATTTAACCTTTCTTTCTTTCTTTCTTTCTTTCTTTCTTTCTTTCTTTCTTTCTTTCTTTCACAGCATTTATTTAATATTTTCTTCGTTTACTAGCTTTCCATTTCTACCTATTTTATCTCATTTTCTAAACTTTTCTTATTGTTTTCTTTCTCTTATTTATATCATTTTTTTTTTTTTTAAAAAGCCACATCCTCCTGGCGACGGATTAAACTGACACCTTTTTTTCAAGATATTTAAATTATAATTGTAAATTTTAATACAGTGTAACCCGGATATAAGAGAGTTGTCGGGACCGAAGAAGTCTCTTATATCCGGGTTTGGTCTATTTTATATACATTAACACAGGCTCTAATTTGGGACCAGAGAAAATCTCTCTTATATCCGGGTTTCTCTTATATCCGGGTCTCTTATATCCGTGTTACACTGTACTGGGAACCGAAAATTTCACTATAATATATTGGAAAATTTCCAAGATTCAACCGAAATCAAGACAATACAAACTTTAAACAAAATGATCACAATATATGAAAGAAAGAATTAATTTAAACTGACGCCAGGATGATAGAGGTTTTTTTTAGTTGAGGCTCTGCTTTAATTCAGTTTTCTTTTCATTGCCTGTTTGTTTCTTTCATAATCGAAGCACGTCTTGAAAAACTCTCGGTTAAAAAAATACTTCAATAAATTTGAGAAACCATGTCACTTAGATCAATAGATTTTAATTATACTTTCTGCATCAGCGCGGCCATCTTAAATTAATAAAGACAAGTTTACATTGGACATATATGAACGCGTATATAAACGCATAGTTTTAGACAAGGTATGCATAAAATATAATATTGAACCTAAATTCGTGCCTCTAAATGGATATGCATATATGCATACAAATCTATTAGTTTTTCCACCTTTCTTCAGGTATTTGTTATGCGAATTTTTCGTATACGCTGGCATTTGGTAGAGCCATAAATTGGAAAAATTTACCTTTGAGGCACCTTTTTGTAAAGTTTACCTTATTCACATTTAGTCGTCTCAGAGAATAGGAAAATATTGCAATAATATTTATAACTTTAAAATGCAGAAAAATTACCCGAGGCTACAAGTTTTGCATGAGAATATTGTTCGAAATTAGTAGGAAATTTCTCAAGAAAAGTGTTTCAAATGTAAACATCGAAATATCTCAGCAGTCCAAGTTAAATAGACGCCTTTAGATATAGCATTTTACATAGCCAGATCTTAGATCCACAGTAAAACTTAGGGCTATGGATCAGCAGATATAGTTTAGGATTGGGGACTGTAATATCCCAAATCAGGATCTCTGTCCCAGATTAGTGACTCTCGTGATGAAAAGGTCCCTTGGCATATGGAAAACTAATTTCAAACCAAAGTAACTGTCAATATTCATCGTAATAAGTACGAAATTAAAATAAGTCATTTGATATATTTAACTAAACTCTCAAGTTTTTGTTCACGTCTACCGTGGCCAGGTATTGAGCACACAACTCTTTCGGTCAAATCACTGGATTATTTCAACCATTAGTCTTTGGGAGACACCAGTGTAACTTTTGGGACTTTTAAATCTAATGTCTCATTATATATTTTTTTACCAGAACTCATATTACAATTTGTTGTTATTTAGCACTGGTTCTTCTACTGTATTCATGTCTATGGCTTAGGAGGTTTATGTGGCCTAGGCATATGCGCTGATTCCTTAGATTTTCGTATTTTCCAGTGATGTTGTCTGTCTGTTATTTTAACCTCATCCAATTACTAAAGGGAAATAACTGAAACTGAGATATCCAGAAAAGGCACGACACGTGGAACTAGAACAATCTAGCCCGGTGGACGAAATAAGAGGTTCAGTTCGAAATACCAACGTATACCGCCAGAAGAAAGCTGGAGCTTACAACGGCAGAAGCATCGTGAATATGACAATAAAGATGGGAACAACAGTCCGAACAATGTAAATATACACTATTTACATTGAGATGAGGTAGTTATAATACCTCATCTCAGAAATATAGACAGATCCTGAAGAAGGCCGGAGTGTACAACGGCCGAAACGTCGTGAATATGAGAATAAAGACGAGACAAAAGTCCGAACGATGTAAGTAGTTACAATACCTCATCTCAGAAATATAGACAGAAGTTTTTATTTTTTAAACTTAAATTTTACAAGTTTTTTCCCCCATATATTTGCCTTTTGTTTTCTAGATGCAAATTATCCAAAATGATTTAAAAAGAACTTATGTCGATAGACTGACTTACACATGAGAATCTTTAAAAATACTTTACAGCTTCTAAACACGAATTTTAATCTTTTGGTGTCGTTTTCTTCTATGTGCCGTGTCTCTTCAGTATGTCGGTGATCATGGCTCTCTACATTTTCCTATCCTTTGTAATACTTAGCAATGATTGTCTTTTTACTATCCCTCCCCATCCCTATCCTGTCATCGATTTACACAAGCTCGTTAGGTAGATTATTCAATGTTTTCCTCTGTCCCTCTTGAGCCTGTCTTGTGAGTGTCAACTTTTCCAAGTCTTCTTTCCTATTTATGCATCCTATAAATTTCAAACCTTTCAGAGTGATATGAATGATCGACTTGGCTAGCTCTTGTCGTGATTTCAACCCTAGGTGTTCCGCACCTGCGTCAGTGTGATTTTGGCTGCTGATAACAAAAGATCGAAAACAGAAATCGAAGCTATAAACTTTCCAGCGAGGCTTGCATTCATAATTCTATAACAAGGTGTATTGATCCTTAGAAAGTTAGATAGTGGGATAAATGTTTTTCTGTGACTTTGACAGGATCAGATTGCAACAGATACGAGCAGGCTAAAAAGGGTAGAAATAAACTAGACGAATACGTGCGCTGTATAGCAATAATTGATAAAAAGTTATCTCCCCTGAAAAAAAACAAACTTTATTTTTCAAAACGATATCAAACTACATTTATTTGCGTTCCAATTTTTAATTAATTTTTTCCTTTAGCCTTAAGTTCACTCAGTAACAATTAGACCGAATGTGAGTGTGAGATAATTTTTAGCAATTATTAATACATGCCACATACTTGTTGCATTGGGCCCTACTAAGCTTCGTAAATACAGAAAAGCCGTTTATTATTAATAGAAATATTATCATACGGATATTGTTATTAAAATCAGCACTTCATTTAAAAGAATTAATAAGTAATAATTTTAAGCCGATAAACGTTTTATTAATTTTTCCTATATTGTTTATAACAATGAATTTGATGGCATCTATAAATTTCTAAAAATTAATTTAAATTGTTCGAATTTTCATATCATTTACGTAATGTCATCAGCTGGTTATTATGAACTAAATGACCCTGCCCCAAAGTGATCGCAATAAATTGATTCGGCTGTATTTCTACTACTACTACTACTACTACTACTACTAATAATAATAATAATAATAAGAGGAAAAAGAAGAAGAATTAATTTATTATGTAAAGTTGTTTCTGAAAATGAATTTATAACAATAAAAGAGAACAGTTCAATTTTTTATATCCTTTGCTTAATGTTATCAGTCAGTTATTGTTATTTTAAAATTTCTGTCGAAAAATGATCACAATAAGAAGCTTTTACTGATTGCTACTATTAAAACTAAGTTACCCCTGCTATTACCTCAGATAAAAAAAAATGGGTTATTCCTGTTTGATTGCGAGGATAGACTGAAGAAAAGATATATCAAAGGTGCTGTTTAGTTTTAGGGAAATAAAGAAATAAAGAAAGAAAGAAAGAAAGAAAGAAAGAAAGAAAGAAAGAAAGAAAGAAGGAAGGAAGGAAGGAAGGAAGGGAAGATAGAGGTAGCGATGACACTCACATATGTTTAACGTCTGCTTCAGTGAAATGGAAACTCAAGTTTAATCTTTTCGTTTGTACTTTAAATAATGACCATTCATATTTGTGGTCGTTATTGTAATAGTTTGTTAAAGTTGTTAAGCTCAAATATTTGCTCAGGCAATTTCAATGTGTATTTTATAGTCATGGAAATCGTGTGGAGTTTATACAGTCATTAAGTTAAGAATTATGAATCCTCAGAAAATTATAACCGGAAAACAATTATTGCTAGTTAATTTATAATGTAAAGTTGTCTTCAACAATGAATTTATAGCATTGTCTGTTCCAATTTTTACATCCTTCGCTTAATGTTATCGACTGGTTATTGTAATTTAAAAGACTTTGTTACCAAATGATCACATTTAGTACCTTCCTCTGTATATCAAATGTCTTACGGCCATATCACGTTGAAATATCGGTTCTCGTACGATCACCAAATTTAAGCAACGTCAAGCCTGGTCAGTACGTAGATGGGTAACCGCTTGGGAATACCAGATGCTTTAAGCTTGGATGTGCGGGTGGTGTAATGGATAATCGCTCGGAATTATGAATCGGAGAGCCGAGTTCCAATTCCCGTTGGATTCAGTTACGCGTAGATACCCGTGGGAAAGGTATGACACCACCTTTCCCAGCTATAGGTTAATTAGTAAGACGTGTATCATTAAATCATTATTATCTTCAAAATTTCTAACACTCTAAATATATATTTCTGGCTTTAAATAACCTGCAAAGGGTTTATAAGACGCAGAAAACGAATCAATCAATCAAATTACTATTATGGTGATGTTGAAAATTTATCGACCCTACAGGAAGAGATTTTAAAAAAAGAATTGCGAAAATGTATTATTTGGTGAGATTTGAAAAAAAATAAAAATAGAAAAAAAATAAAAACAAGCAAAGGTATAGTGCTAAGTTTGCCCTACTATTTTACCAATAAATGAAGAGGAAAGAATTATAATCTGAGGTAATCGGTTGGAATTTGAACTCGTCTTGCTGATTTCATTTGTCGCCCTAAAGAAAATGTTTTACAATCTAAAAACATTTTCTGGTTTTAAATAAACTGCAAAGGGTTGATAAGACGTAAAAAAAAAAACAACAAATTAATCATTCAGTATGTATATAAACATATTTAACCGAAGAAGAAAATCTATCTGATGCCGAGCCACATAAAATGTCTGTTTTAAGAAACAACTCGACCAGCTACAACACCGATTTTATCTCGTTCAAAGTACATAAAATGTAAATTACGCAGTGCTGGCGGTGATGGGAAGAGGCGCTTCGAAAGACAAATAAAACAGGCCTGATTTAAACGAACACGTTCCTGACAAATCAAAGCCCAGCAAAAATAATTAAAGCTCTGTTGGCCAGCCTAATTACCAGAGAGACCAATCTTTGATATTCGAAGTTGAAATACGTAATTCACCCGTTTATATCAGCTACTATTCTGTTCTATTCTTCCGCTTCTCTTAGCATTCGATACAATAAATAACCGTTTATTTCACGAACAACCGTGACAGCTCATTTTCATTAAGGTCGATAACACGTCTTTCTCATTCCCCGTTCACTCTTTGAACTCATTACTCCGTATAGAGAAACATATCATCCCAAGATCGCTCCACAATTAGGCTAGTTCCAGGCAAAGAAATGCCACCAAACCAGTAGAATGTACCATTAACTTGCAAACGGTCGCCAGAGACAACACTATCGTTATCTTTAATAACTGGAGCATAACAGATGCAACTTAATAATTCTGAAAGGTTATCCTAGAACGTAGTTACCAAAATATCCATCAAATCTTATATTATCTCACTGGACGCAAAGTGAATGTTTGCCCAGTGCTTGCCTTGGAGAAACGTATGCCACAGACGCCATTGTACATTTGCAGAAATTATTTCTATTAGCGTTATTTTTCACTCCTATTTATATTTCTCTTACAGCCATTCGCCATCTTTCCTGCCTTTTGTTATTCTTTACTTTCCCCGTTCTTTCTTTCTTTTCATCATTTCTGACTTCAACTGCTCTTCCAATACACTTTCTCCTTGTTTTTGTTTAACATAATTATTTGTTTTGACATAATTCTTTCTTTCTTTCTTTCTTTCTTTCTTTCTTTCTTTCTTTCTTTCTTTCCATAACTTCCGATTTTTCTCAATACTTCCACTTCTAACATTACTTTTTTCTCTCGGTCTGTTAAATAAAACGTCACAATCACATTAATCTTTCTTTCTTTCTTTCTTTCTTTCTTTCTTTCTTTCTTTCTTTCTTTCCCTAATTTCTAACATTTCTCCACATCTCCACATCTCTTATAACATTACTTCTTTCTCTCTCTATTTAAAGAAAACATCGAATTCACATATTTCTTTCTTTCTTTCTTTCTTTCTTTCTTTCTTTCTTTCTTTCTTTCTTTCCATAATTTCTGACATTTCCCAATACTTCCACTTCTCTCCTAACATTTCTACTGTCTGTCTCTCTTACTTAAAAAAAACAAAACAAAAAAAACATCGTATTCACATTATTCTTCCTCCCTTCCTTTCATTTTTTTTTGTTTTGGCATAATTCTTTCTTTCTTTCTTTCTTTCTTTCTTTAACTTCCGACTTTCCTACTGTTAACATCACTTCTCTCGCTCTATCTCTTTTTTTGTTTTGTGGAAAACATCGGAATTACATTAATATTTTTCCCTTCTTTCTTTCTTTCTTTCTTTCTTTCTTTCTTTCTTTCTTTCTTCCTCCCTTCCTTCTATAATTTCTGTTTTTCTTCACTTCTTCAACATCATTGTAAAATTGAAATGGAATTATACTTATTCACTTAATCATTTTAGATATGAAAATTTATAATTAGTATGCATGTAATAGCTATATTTTGTTGGTAATTACAGAAACATGTATGCGAGAGAATGATAATATTTAGTTGTATAAACTTGTGCAATTTCAATAATTACAGCTAATTATTATTATTATTATTATTATTATTCATATCTTTACCCTGAAGTTATCTGATTGTGGTTACTATAGATCGATTGACAGAAAATCTCAAGTTTCAAGCACGCTTTTCATCACGCGCATTGACCTCAGCAATGATAGATTGCTTGACCCTCCATTTCAAGCAATATTGCCTGTAAGGTCTTTGGGGAAGTTTTCAATGTGAACATCATGGAAAAAATAGTTAGATTCATGTTATACAAATCTGTTCGATCTTGGGAAAGGTCCTGGGATTGTTCCAATTTTTCACATTTCAGCAGGTTTCAGACATGAATTTACATTCCAGATCATAGAAGCTTACCCTATCATGTAGAAACGTCTATAATATATTATAATTAAGGCATTAAGAACAGGATTAGGAACAGGACCTTCGTCTGAACATCATTGACTTATATTATGACACTGCACCATAACATTACAATTCTATGTATACATCGTGCAACGCTAAGATATTGCTTTGAACACCCACAGTCTAAAGTATACATAGATCTAAAGTATACCTAAGTCCATAAAAATAACTTGATCTAAAGAAGACATCGTTATATATAGCTTTTAAGAAGCCATAATCTAAAGAATATCAATGTTGAAATCACATTGACGTCTAAAGAATATCTAGGCTTAAAATCACTAGACCTAAAGAATATAATGATGTATAGAATGGTTAGATCAAATATCTAGGTTTCTTCATAAATACAAAATCCAAAGTATGCCTGGTACTATCAAGGTCTATAGAATATCACGGTTTAAAAACAGTAAACCTAAAAAAATACATATCAAAAGAATATCTAGTTTTAAAGAATATATAAATTTAAAAACGAGACTAAAATATCCAGATCCAAAGAATATCTAGGTTTAAAAAACGTCAAACCTAAAAAGAATATCCAGGTGAATATATAGGACTCAAGCAATGTAACAAATTGGCCACAAAATGATAGTGTACTGTTTCAAAATGGGTGAATTACATCAGAGATTATTTTGAGACGAAAAGCAATTATTCGCAGTTTATTTTAAAATTACTCGGTCACATTATGAGTACAGAAACGGAAATTAAATATAACAGAAAAAATATATGACTCCTCCAAAACTACATAATAGGAGCATACTTGTTTTTGTTTAATTTTAAAGCATTAGTGGGGGGATCTAGTGTTTCGCAAACACATATTAAATGACGGAAGAAACATATATATATATATATATATATATATATATATATATATATATATATATATATATATATATTATTGCCAGGTTTATTTTCATTAAGGAAAATACATCGACGAAAATAACTGCCACGCTGGCATCGGTATTACAACCTCTTTACAGCAATGAGAAAGGTTCTGCCGCAGTGTTGGAATCCCCGGAGCTGAGCAACTTCTTCCATCTAAAATGAGGATAAACATAGCTCTATTTACAGCATAGGTGTGGGGCGATAATCACGTCTCAGTAGGTCCTTATTTGCAATGGTTACCTCCTGTGCCAGGTAAGTATCCTAAGCATCTTGGTAACGGATTGTTGTTTTGGTTGTTTTTCAAGGCTTTTTTATTTGTTGAATCAGATTTACAACAATCGCCGGTTTTTAAAAAAAAATATGTGAGTGCTGATAGGATACGATAGGATACGAAACGAGGATGGATGTGTTGGAAATCCATGGTAGGTTTCAGATTGTATAGATTGGGGTCTGCAATGATATTGAGAAAGATACTGGAGATTTGAGGTACTTTCTGTCACTGAATACTCATAGACGATCACCAGATATCTGGTGGGTACAAGCAAATACAATACTACTACTACTACTACTACTAATAATAATAATAACAAGAAGAAGAAGAAGAGGAAGAAGAAGAACGATAGTAACAACAAAGAAAACAATAATACTAGTAAGCTCAACAAAGACAATAATAACAATAACAACAACATAAAGCAATAATAACAACAACAACAATAAAGACAACAGCAACAACAAAAACAACAACAGCAACAATAATAATAATAATAAACCCCGAATAATTTAACAAGATATCGAACAGAAAGAAAAACAATGAAGTTTATACTTGCATAAGGACAGTGAGATAAATTCTGACATCAAGTGATGTCATTTCAGATCTATCAGACAACAATAGCCGCAGCAGCAGCAGCAACAACAACAACAACAACATCAACAACAATGATAATAATAATGATGATGATGATGATGATGAAGAGAAGAATGATAATTTTCACATTTTCCTGATGAATTATCAAAATCTATCACGTTTGGTTGATAACGAGTTTTTTTTTTAATAGCTTAGTCAGGATCTAAGTATGAAGTAAAAGTGTTATAATCGACAGTTAAGATGAAAAAAATTACAAATGCCTCTGAAATGTTACAAATCCTTTTAAGACAGTATCTGTCTTTAATGTCAATTAGTCGGCTGCTAGTTGAGCCGTGGCCTGTATCAGTAGAGGCGGTGAGTTCGGGCGACGTAGGCGTCAGTGGCGTCATTATTATCTGATGCTTCCAGCCAGGCTATTTGAGGGATCTTGT